TGCTATATATAATACTTTGAAAGCATTCTATATAGCTACATAATGTTTCAGTGAATTGCTACACCATGACCATGCTTCCTTTGAACAATTCTCTTTTATTAGACATTTAACTTATTCAACTTAGGCTTTCAACTCCAAGGCAACTAATCTCTGTGTGGAAACATCACGTGTGTGTGTGTGTGTGTGTGTGTGTGTGTGTGTGTCCATACAGGTGTATATACACACATCTATGTTTCAAAGAATGGTTTTATAAAGCAACAGAAATACAAACTGCAAAGATTAAGAAATTTAAGTTCACTAGTGACTTCTCCTGAACTGACTTAGTCTTGATCTTTCTTCTTTTCTTCCTCACACGACATTCCTTTCTCAGCAATCAAGAAAAAAAAAATCCTAGGAAAAAATCCATTATCTAATTAATGTGCTGAAGACAATAGTATATGCATCATTCCTTTGTATTCCTTTGCTGTGGGTGGAAAACAAAGATCATTCTCAGGACCACCATAGCCTAAACAAGCACGAGAGCCTAAATAAGCTAGTCTTTAAGAAAGAGTCACTTACTGACCCAACGTGCTGTCACAGCTCCAAAAGCCCTCAAACTCCAAGACACCAGCCGCATCTACAATGGGTCAGCTGCATTTTAACTTTGAGGTAATTCTAGAAGTTGGAATGGTGGTAAAGAGATTTTCAATTCTGTCAAGATACAAAACTGAAAGAGCTGATATATTAAATATATAATTTATCACACTTCTACAGCTAATTAAAACAACATGTTTTTCTATACATATATACAGGGAGACTATTTCCTGGACAAGGAATTACATTTTTCTTTTAATATGACAGTATGTAACACATTGAGGTATTCAACTAACTTTTAATGGCTGATTTCAAGGACTAGTGACTGCCTTATCCGGCACATTCCAGCTTTTGAATGCTTAGTGATTTACACTAACATGATTGCAGTGAAATGTTCACTACCAAGGACATGACATAAGAAGCGAAGGAGAGGAATGAGAGAGGGGAGACAAACACATGGACAAATAACAAACCACAGCATAAGGTGATCAGTGGTGCAAGAGAACCAAGCACATATGGATCTACAGGCGGCAGAGGTGGAAGACGAGAGGTGAGTGGTGAGAAGAGTTTGAAATGTTCCAAGAGGAAAAAAGGTACCACAGATAATGTAACAGCCTGGACAAATGCATGTAAGCAAAAGCACCAGGGTGAAGGCAGGGAAGAAGTTGCCTAAATCAGGGGTTCCCAACCCCCAAGCAATAGACCAGTACCATCCATGGCCTGTTAGTAACCAGGCCACACAGCAGGAGCTGAGCAGAAGCCTAAGCTCCACTTCCTGCCAGTTCAGTAGTGGCATTAGATTCTCATAGGTGCACAAACCCTATTGTGAACCACACATGTAAGGGATCTAGGTTGCACACTCCTGATGATAATTCAATGCCTGATGATCTAAGGTGGAACAGCTTCATCCCAAAACCATCTGCAGCCCGATCCTCCCACACCATCCATGGAAAAACTGTCGTCTACAAAACCAGTGCCTGGTGCTAAAAAGGTAGGGGACTGATGGTATAAATGGAAAGGAAGGCTCATGTAGGAAGTTGAGGGAAATGAAGGTAGCATTGAATGACAATTGGCCTCAAAGCCACACAAAGAAATTGAGCATTTAACCTGTACTGAGCAGTTTACAATTCCAGGAAACATGAGAGCTTTTGAGCAGGCATCCTCACCAACCAAAAACAAAGAAATAAATACTGCCACAGATTTCTAAGCTGGCCGCCCTTAACTGCATTCACCTCATCATTTCTGGTACGTTCCAAGGCCAGAGAGAGTGTTGCCCTCTCCCCTAAGTGCATGGGTGCATCAGAGCATGTATAGGTCACCCATGCACTTCATTCACATCCTCCTTCCCTATGGACAGTGAACTCTAGAAAAGAGCAGGAATAAGCCAATAATATCAACAAATGGCAACAGAAGAATACGTACGTATGCTGGGTGCTTCAAGCATAAAACAACCCAAACAGCTTTGCTTATCAGTCTACGTTTCAATACAACATTTAATTTTTAAACAGCAGGAAAATAAACAGAATTTTAATAGAAGTTTCAGTCTAGCTGCCTAACCACAGAAAAAATTGCAACTGAAAAACATTTCAGCTAAAAGAAAAAAACAGAGGCAGTTTAGCATTTTCTTTTAAATTGTAAAAGATAAACATGTAGTATATATTTAAGATTTTTCACCAAAAAGAATAAGTTAGATGCTAATTTTTAGGTAAAGATACATTCTAATCATCATTCTTTTATCATATAGCCCTATCTTCTCCATCACCATGGACTCTCTTGTTTTGCTGTTAAACATGAAAAATCTTTTCCCAGAAAATGACAGGCTAAGAGTCAGGAAGTACTTCCTGATCCTGTAGTTACAGGATGTGCCACCAGTCAAAATGATCTATGGTGTTTCAGGTTATTTCGGTACCAGAGAGCCACCGCACTGACCTAAAGAAAAGAGCAACATACAAGTGACTCATTTCCCCCAGTGGCATGGCAGCTCCCAGACGTCCTGGACCAAGTCACTTTCCCCTTTGCAGCCTTTCTGTTAGGGAGACACTTCCCAGTTTCTACAGAGAAATGCTCATTCACCAATAGAAGACACTGAATGCTGTTTAAAGATGCAATTACCCGATGCTGTATTATAGTTACGCTCCCATATATGAGGAATGCAAAAGGAGAATAGGGCAGAAAATCCCCGAAAGGAGTTGGATTTGGAATTGTATGCTCCCAGTGAGCAAAAAACTCACTGCACATCACAATCTAACAATGATAATGTTTATTCACTTTCAACTTTGCAAGCAACTTAGACACAGAGGCAAATGGCTAAAGTAACATTCAAGTTCCCAATGATGTAAATAATTTGCTTCGGGCCACGGAATATTCTCCATTGTCAGTTTGGAAGCTTGTAAAAACCTTAAGCCATCACAAAACTTCTCTGATTTTTCTAATTAATTCTGAAAAATCCCCAGAGGTCACTAGAAGTCCTTAACATATTAGAATGGAAAGAAAGATTGTTGAAAAGCTACAATCATCATTTCTACAAAATATTTAACCTCAAACCCTTGAGACGACTTCATCAAACCAATCCATTTATAAATTTTGCAAGCTATACAAACTGAAATCAGAACTGCTTTCCAAAAGAAAACTCTGGGCCAATTTATGGCCCACATCAAAATAAACTTCCTAGGCAAATAAGGACACAGGAGAAAGCAGTCTTCTCTATGTGTTGGTAGAGCCTCAGCATAGCCTATTCACTTTAGAAAAGTTATACTGAAGAGAGTCTACAGTGAGGAAGGGTAATTACAATCATGAGTATCACACATTAAGTATTAATTACTTTACATGGAATTGTCATATAACTGTCTCAACACTAAAGAGAAAATTATTTGTACTGGGTATAATAAAGTAGCAAAAAAAGAACTAAGCATTATGATATATGGAAATAAATGCAAATATGTTTCATTACTTCTATTACATGAGTCAAAATTCAACCCCGAATTGGTTTTATAGAAACTACTACAATCCTTACCTAATCCCTACATTCATGATGTTTTTACTTTTTTATGACACACGATCTCCCCAAGTTGTGCAGGCTGGTCTCAAACTCCTGCGGTCAAGCAATCCTCCCACCTCTGCTTCCCAAGTAGCTGGGATTACAGGCGTGAGGCACTATGCCCAGCCATGATCTTGTTTTTTAACTAAACATGGAATGTAAGTGAAAACAGTGAGTGAAAGGGGGAAAAAATCTACGAAAGATATCTATCTACTCTGATAAATTTCTTTAAACAAGAAACTTGAGCTTCTTATTACTCACTTAACAGTATCCTCACAGCCACATGACCTTAATTATTAATTTCCAGGAGTAAAACTGGAGAATACTGTAGAGTAGGATTCTCAACAGAAAACCTGCCTGAGTTAATCCTCTAGGCAGAGAAAAAAATAAGGCCTTCATGATGCTAAGAGACATTTACAAGACATTTACCAGTCAGTGATCTGATTTTTAATTTGAGGCAACAGAAATTTCTTTTTTTAAAAAGAAAGATTAAAAAAAGGCAACCAGGCATATAGTGGCTCATGCTTGTTATCTCAGCACTTTGCGGGGCTGGGGCGGGAGAACTGCCTGAGCCCGGGAGTTTAAGACCCGTCAGGGCAATAGCAAGACCTGTGTCTACAAAAAAACTTTTTAAAAAAAATTAACCAAGCGTGATGGTGCATGCCTTTGGTCCCAGCTACTTGGGAGGCTGAAGTAGGAGGATCACTTGGGCCTGGGCAGTTGAGGCTGCAGTGAGCTATGACCACCCTCTACCGCACTCCAGCATGAATGACGGAGCAAAACCCTGTCTTTAAAAAAGGACAGCCAGGTTAAAGAAAAAGATAAATTCATATCCCGGAATGGTCAATGATTATAAATGAAACTGCATTACATCCACTGTATCACAGCAATCTAGTGAAGGAAAAAAGATGTTTCACCCCACACCAGATACAAAAGGATATGGAAAAGGATATGGCGCGTGATTTTGACTGAAGGTAGTTAAATTAATGCAAACGATTCAAGTTAAAAGACAATGTAAACAAACCCACAGCATGTTAATTCTAAAATCTAACATCTTTAGAGAAATGAGTCTCAGCTACTTCTATAAACCTAAAACATTATGTCAAGACAGACTGATTTTATCCCATGACATAAAACAGGAAGACTTTTACCAGTAAGAAGGCTAGCTTATATGAAGTAAGTCTTTACCCCTAAGTTCCAAATTCCTTTTACCTGTAAATTGTTAATTATGATGATTTCCTAATAGTATGTATTTGCCACTTGTTAAAATTTTTTTCTATTCAGCAATTTTTTTACAATAGTTTGTTACAACAAACATCTACACACACACACACACACACACACACACACACACACACACACAGAATCCTGAAAAGGGTCACCAGCTCACCTTCATCACTTGGCGCCTGCTGCTTCACAAGAGTCATCGGGGATCTTGCTGGAGGCATACTAAGTGGATGGCGCCAACTCTTAGAGGTTTTGTTCTCTCCCTCTGTTATCTGGTTACAGTACACAAATGGAGGAGAAATACCATTACCAAAAACAAACTAAAAAAAAAAAAAAAAAAACCCTACAGTTCACAATGATTTATAACTTAATGTTGAAGAAATCTTGTGGTTGTTTACTTCTTGGGGAATTAGTCCTTTAAGAAATTTAAACTTCAGGTCAAAAGAAATAGGAATCAATTCTATTGCTAATTTTACTCTGAGGTCAATTAACTCTTCTTCCACGTGGTATTAAAATATAAGCTGAAAGGCAGGGTAGGCTTATTAAATCTGCAATAAGCTCAGCAGTTAGCAAGTTTTCTAAAGTTCTTACAGCTATTCTAAATTTAGGATTACAGACCAGGCACATTGGCTCATGCCTGTAATCTCAGCATTTTGGAAGGCCAAAGTGGAAGGATCCCTTGAGCCCAGGAGCTTGAGGCTGGCCTGTGAAACACAGGGAGACTCCATGTTAATAATTTAAAGAAAAAAAAAAAAAATTGACAAGGTATGGTGGCATACGCCTGTGGTCCCAGCTCCTCAGGAGGCTAAGGTGGGAGGATCACTTGGGCCCAGGAGGTCAAGGCAGCAATGAGCCATGATCATATCCTGTCTCCAAAAATAAATAAACAAGTAAATTTAAGATTGTATTCTCATAAAAATATAGGACTATGGCTTGGTCACCTCTAAGATGTTCCCATGTTAACATTTAGCAAGGAATTTTACTTTCTATCCTTACAGAGAAGACAATCCTGCAAAGTTGAGGCTGTATACTTCTTTCCATTCAAAAATTAATCACTACTTCTGTATCACAAACATAAACAATCCAACAGGAAACCATAAGTATTCTCTTTTTTTAATGATACATTAATGCCATGTTGAAACCACTTAAATTTTATATATGATTTTTTTTTTGTCCTGGGATGTACAGACTATATATTCCTTTCCCAGGTGGAAAGTCATGTGTATCCTTACACATTCCAGCTAGGACCCATCTTTTTAAGCTCTCTTGCTTGCACAACACAAATTTTTTTTTTTTTTTTTAGATGGAGTTTCGCTCTTGTTACCCAGGCTGGAGTGCAATGGCACGATCTCGGCTTACCGCAACCTCCGCCTCCTGGGTTCAGGTAATTCTCCTGCCTCAGCCTCCTTAGTAGCTGGGATTACAGGCACGTGCCACCATGCCCAGCTAATGTTTTTGTATTTTTAGTAGAGACGGGGTTTCACCATGTTGACCAGGATGGTCTCGATCTCTTGACTTCATGATCCACCCGCCTCAGCCTCCCAAAGCGCTGGGATTACAGGCTTGAGCCACCGCGCCCGGCCATAACGCAAAATTTTTAAAGGCAGCAGGAGGCGGAAGGATATCAGAGTTTGAACCCAGCAGGCTTACATCAAGAGCTGACTATGAAAGAAAACAATCTTAGTCTTCTTCCCTATAAGCTGAAGCAGTGGCCAGATATAGAGAAACTAGTCTGGCCTCTGACTCCAACACATGATTCTGAGAAAATGTGTAAGAACACTGAAGACATATTCATCAAGACACCACAATGTTGTCATAGCTGGAGTTATAAGAGGATAAATTATATCAGGTTTCTGCTCTCAAGAAGTGTAGATTAGAGAGAGGTAAGGGAATAGATAATAAATGAATAAATTTCATTTATCAGGTAGTACTGGGTAAATATGCAATAAAGGAAAATAAAGAAGGACAAAGGAATAGAAAGTGATGGGGAGGGGGCAATTTTATAGGGTAACTTATAAAGGCCTTTCTGATATGGTGATATTTGAGGGGAACTTTGAGTGCATACATATGATGATCTGGGGGAGAAGTATTTTGGGGAGCAAGAATAGCATGTAAAGTGAGAACATACTTGGTGTGTTCCAGGCACAGCATGGAGCCCAGAATGGATGGATGGGTGGACAGATGAGTAGACAGAGCTTAAAAAGTAATTCTTACTGAGTAGATGGGCTAATGCCAGCAGCTATCAGCATACACACAGCATTATCCTCAATACTAAAAACATTGACAAAAACTACATAAAAATTAAATAGGGCTATATTACATCAAGGAGTTATCTAATACTGTGATGTAAGAAAAGAATGTCATGCAACTGTTCTTACAGGCAAGCCAAGCCTCTCGGCCTTCAATAGCAATGTTGGTTTCTCTGCTGTCAATCTTTGCTCAGGGAAATGATGAAGATGAAGATAAATAGCACTACAGCCATAATCACTTTCCTTGAGAGCAAAGAATCTGAAAAGCTACTTTCGGCTCCATTCTAGTTCAAGGAATGTCACTAAATATTATTAAAGCAGGCATTTGACTCATTCACCTCTCAAAAGGATATCAGCTCAGCTACATTTAATCCATTCATGAAATTAAGTTGTTAATTTTTTTTTTTTTTAAGAAACAGGGTCTTACACTGTCACCCTGGCTAGAGCACAGTGGTAGGATTACAGCTCATTGCAGCCTTGAATTCCTGGGCTCAAGTGATCCTCCAACCTTAGCCTCCCTAGTAGCTAGGACCACAGGCTCACGCCATTAAATTTTATTTTTATTTTTTTGTAGATGTAGGGTCTCATCCTGTTGCCCAGGCTCAACAGGAATCCCTGAGCTCAAGGGATCCTCCCACCTCAGTCTCTCAAAGTTGAAGGGATTACAGAAATGAGCCACCACATCTGGCCAAAGTTGTAAATTTTGCTTACTAATATGCGAATGCTATTTTCAAACTACTCTTAGGCACCTTTTCAAAGAAAGCAATCCATATTCTTTTCCATATTTCATATTTTTAAGTGTTTATAATTCAAGGAGATATACAATTCTACATAAAAAGATAAACACTATTGGGTCAAACCAGAAAACTATATTTTAAATAACATTTTAAGACTGTTGAAAAGCAGGGTATTCAAAGCTGCTGTCCTTATACGACCTCCCTTGTTCTACTCAGGGACACAAAGACCTGCTGTGAGTTGAAACGAACAGGGGCAGTGTCTGTTCTGAAGCCAGTGCAACTTGTCAGCTCAATTACTCCTTCCTTATCCACTTGAATTCCCTAATCAGGGCGGATACATCCAAGAAAGTACTGAATTCTGACAATCGCTACAGATAGTCATACCTCCCCTGATCCACTCTTAAGGCTACATGGACAGTTTCTGCTGAATATGGAATATTAATACTGTACAAGGACAATATTGTACAATTTTCCAAAAAGTCACAATGGGAAGCTAAGTAATCTAGAGGGGTCCTTTCTCAGAGGCAAAGGGCCTCTTTGGACAAGAAAGGTCACCCTGGTCCTGGGATTCAGGTTCCATCAGCAAAGAGTAAGAAGAAAGCATGACCAGGTGAATCCTAATGCTGAAACAGAAGCTGTGGGGTGGCTGGGACCCAGCGTTATTAATATTAGCAAGAGGTAGTCAGTGCGCATCACGTAAATTCTTCCCAGACTAGTTAATAATGCGGGTGATAGAACAATTCTGTATCTTTAGTAATCAATGTCGATATGATTGTGACTTTGTAGTTTTCTAAGATGGTAGTATTGGCAGAAACTGAGTAAAGGGTACAAAGAATCACTGTTCACCATTTCCCACACCGCATACGAATCTACAATCACCTCAAAATAGTTTAATTTTTTAACAAACAGAAAAATCAAGCTTCAACATGTGGCCATAAGCTCCATGTGCTGAATTACCACTCTGTGAGCCACAGCTCACAGAAGGCTTGCCTCCCTGTCACTGAATGAATATGATTTAGACCCATAAATGTAAAATGTTATTTCTTTGTGCCCTAAAGGAGGATTTCAGTGCACAGCATGTTGTTTTCAAAATGTGTTCTCACCATATAATGAATATGGTAAAAATGGATATTGCCACATACACTGGGAACTTTGAAGCCATTTCTCTCTCCACTGGGGACCGCTGGGATTTCCCCAGGTTCAAGGCCATTCCCATGACTCTCCACATCACTCTCTTCTCCCTCTGTTAACACACCATTACTCTCTGCCACCGATGAGCATGACTCAGGTGATTTTGGCCATGACAGCTTGGGTGAGTCTGATTTCTTGGGCTTCTCATAGCCACTAGATAATGGAATGGAATCATCAGCCTCATTGGGTTTAGAAGGTACACTTCTATATGCATAAGTGTTGTCATCCTCAGTTTTTATATCTTCTGTTACCGATATACTTAAGCAGCTGCTTCCTGAGGATAAAAAAGAAGGTGGTTAATAAATCTTACATTGTATTATTACTAAGTAGGATTGGTAAACTATTCCCAGCTGATTCTATATCTTATACACACATACACACACAAAAGAAACCTCATTTGTACCCATCACATACTAGCTCTAATACTATACAAGCCAGATCTTCTACTTAAGTATTATGACAATGCTCAAACCCTGGAGATCAGTGTGCAAAGAACCATGTAATGACAGAACTAATGAAATTGAGGGCTCTTAGCCAAAACCATCCAGCAATTCATCAAGTGGCTAATTAAACCTAGTGTAATGAAAAGCATGATGAGGGGCTGGGTGCAGTGGCCCATGTGTGTAATCCTACCACTTTGGGAGGCCAAGGCAGGTAGATCACTTGAGGCCAGGAGTAGAACACCAGCCTGGCCAACATGGCTAACCCCCAGCTCTACTAAAAATATAAAAATTAGTTGAGCATGGTGGCACACACCTGTAGTCCCAGCTACTCGGGAGGCTGAGGCAAGAAAATCGCTTGAACCGGAGAGGCAGAGGTTGCAGTGAGCTGAGATTGTACCACTGCACTCCAGCCCAGGTTACAGAGAAAGACTATTTAAAAAAAAAAAAAAAAAAAGGGCATGACAAGGCACGATATGGGACTATAATGAAATATCCATAAACATATATATTATATGACTCTATTCTCTGCATTTGTTGTAATTTCCTTCCTTACCTTCTCTTCCTTGCTATCTTGTATCCATTCATCACAACTCAATTCAAATATCACCTCTGCCAAGAAACCTTGCCTGTCCAGCTCTCAAGTGGTTGAAGTTCTTCCTTGATAAACCAGCAACATCTTAGGCGATCTCTATAATGCTAGTTACCACACTGGATTGTAATCATGAGTTTATTGCCTAGCTCTCCACTAAAACATGATCTCATTTTTTTCAAGGTTCGGTGGTGTAAACTCTATCCACGCATCTATTTCAAGAGCAAAGGCAATGGGGCTGGAGAAGCAGCAGAGGACCAGTTTAGGGCAATGTGAGGACTTTCTTTTATTGTAGGTAGAATAATACTAAGAAGAAGGTAGTGACAAGACCTAAGCTTTTTTTCTTTTAAAGGATCACTATGATGGCCACCTGGAGAATTGACCAGCAGGGGTGAGCAACTGCTGCAGTCTTCCAGGCAAGAGCTACGGTACCAGGAGTCGTATTCTGGCAGAGAGGGCGGGGTGTCTCCTGAGGAAGGATTTACCGCATAAGAAGTATGTATGAGAGGAACACAGGAATTAGCTCAATTATGAAGAGGGCAAGAACCCCAACATATATGAAAGAGGCAAATCATTAAAGCAGTTTCAGAAAAATATGCTACCAAAGGGGAAGAAGGCAAAGCAGCTGAGATTTTTAGACAATGGTTTTAGTAAAGAAGAGAAGTCAGGAAAGTATATATGCCATTGTTGTTGTTCTTAAAACCTTGATCTTTATTTTCTTTTTAAAATTAAGTCAAAAGCTAAGAATCTACAAAGAATTATCTATAATTGATTTTCTCTGCTCGTGTGAATTCAAGAGAAGTCTTCCAAAAACATACATTGTAAATTGAGTCGCCCTTAAAAAAAAAAGTCGCATTTTAGTATCTACTTTTTTATTAAACCAAATAGGCACTGCTGGCTGTTTGTCTCACAATTCTGTTACATATAGCAGTGAGACTCCTGACTTTTATAACATTCCCTGGGCCTCTTGGTTGAGTTCCCTTACAACTTTGAGTAGATTATAGATTAAGCTATGTGGACTGGTCAGATGCGTGTCATAATGAACATCAATTTAAGGCATCTGATCATCCACCACCTACTATTATATGTGAAACATAATTAACCACCTTCTCACCTGAGAGTTTCATATGATCAGGTAAATTCTGATCCACCTGCATGCTGCTAGCAGAGTCCTCTTCTTCTGAAGGTACTTCTGTGTTCCTCAGCTTCGCTGATTCTTCAGGCTTTTCACTGACCTTGAGGTCATCTGTGCCTGAGTCAGCGTTAGGGACCTCTGCCCCACTGACTTCAGCTGACACTTCCTCTTCCTCCTCAGCCTTAGGCCTTTTAGAGGTAGACCTAGCACACGGGAAGCTGTCAAGAAGAGAAGCAGCAGTCAGAGCAGAATGCTTGCAATGGATATGAAAAACACATCCCAATAAAAATGTCATTGTCACTTGCTTAAAGAAGGAAAGAACTGACATTGTTAATCACTACGCCATGTCAGTGTTCACAACTGAAAGATTAACTTTGAAATCAAAATCTTAAGAACAAGTTTTATAACAAATTTTAAAATTCACACAACTGTAAATAATTATTAAACATTATTTTGAAAAAGGGCCACTGCAAAAATGTAACAACATTTTAAAAGTCTGAAAATAAAAATAAGGTAAAAAACTATTGAAATGAGAGAGGAAATAAAATTAATAAATAAAATATCTAGATAATTAAGAAAATAAATTTAAAAATCAAGATATCCTGTAAGGCTAATGCTAAAATCTAAGTAGGTGAACTACTGACTACTTTTCATTGAGTTTTGTATAATTGTCAGGTATGTATTAAAATAGTTCAAATTAAGTGCCAATTCATCAATAGAGAAATTATTTAAAAACAGAACACGGCTAACTGGAGAGAGAGAGAGAGAGAGAGAGAGAGAGAGAGAGAGAGAGAGAGGAGGGGGGAGAGGGAGAGGGAGGGAGCGCGCGCACGCGCGCGCACACACACACTTCCTAAAGACATTGTCTCACTATATTGCCCAGGCTGGTCTTGAACTCCTGGCCTGAAGTGATCCTCCCTCACTGGCATCCCAAAGTGCTGAGATAACAGGCATAAGCCACCGCATACAGCCTACTTTTATGTATTTAACACTGTAGATCAACAAACTATTCTCAGAGTGAACACAATTTTTATCTTCTTCCTCTCTATTTTCCAGCAAGTCACTTGATGGCTTTGGCATATATGCTTTTTACATATGAAATAAACATTCCTAACAATTAGAAACAATTACAAATAAACTCAAATCAACAGCATCAAAAACACCCCCATATGTATTACAAACACACAAGAAACTGCCAAAGGACTAAGCACTGCAGGAAGTCAGGGAAGGCAGAGAAGAGGGTGGCCAGCAATAACCTATATAAATTAGCTTTCACTGCAGCTGATGGCAGTAACAGTAGTAACATCACCGTCATCACTTCTGTTGCAAATCCATGCACTGGCTGATGTGGGAAAATCTCAACATTATAAACAGTGAAGTACATGTGAAAAAAAGAAGGCTGCATGTGCTTGAAACATCAGTGAATCACTCCCTTCATCAGAATTCCCTAAATGGGGTATTTCCAAAGGGAGATCAATAATCTCTAAATATCAACCCACCCACAAGGCTGAGCATATTAAACAAGCCCATAGTCAGACTTTCTAAGTAGATGAGCAAGTTCCATTGATTATATAAACCTATGGACAGGCATTTCTATCTGTTCAGATGCCATAAATCTATGTTCTCTATCAACCCAAAAGGCCCTCTGTGGTTAATAACTAGGAAACCAAGTCATACACCTAATGAAAGTATTGTATTTTCCATCCATTAAAGAACAATTCTCAAGATGTTCTCCTGGTGTGCATTCTGAACTCAGGATTGGATACTGCCTCCTTCCAATGCTGGTTTCTTTCGTGCTGTGAATTAACACATTTATCAAAGACACTGACTGTTCAAATCAGTATTTCTCCAATTTTCTTGAATGTAACCCACAACGAGTTATACATTTCAGAGAGTGACACTACATAAACACATGCACATACTTACACATGTCATGAGTGAGTATTTGCCCTTACCACAGAGGAAGCACTATAATAGTTTTTATTCTATTTTACCACCTAATTTTAAGACAGTCTTGATCTACTACAATTAATGTGAAAACAAACACTTTGAAAATGATTGCAGTAAACGACAGGACTAAATATCAACACCTGAGTTAGTTCTGCACCTCAGGTCTGTCTGTTACACAACGCTGAAGTGTTACTCCATGTCCCTAAGGTTCCTGCACTCACTACAACTCTAAATTAGCAGAAAATAAGTATCAGGAAAAAGAACAGAGAGAAAATAAGCATCATTAAGTCTGGGCAAAGATGTAAAATTACCGTGTTATTGAGTTAATATCAAAAAAAGTGGAAACATGCTACAGGGGATTAGTTAGATACATGCAAGCATTAAAAATTATGTTGCAGCAAATCAGTCAGTTACATTAAAAAACACTCAAAACTGATCATCAGATTGTTAATAGAGCATGGCCCCAATTTTGGAAAGATATATACTATAAAATATATAATAAATATATAGGTAAAGGATATATACAAAATGTTAACACTGGTTATCTCTGGATAGTGAGGTTATGGGTGATATGGGATTCCTTCATTATTCTTTTCCTTATTTTACAAATTTCCTCCAATGCACAAATATTACTTTTATAATCTGAAAGAAAAACAATGAGTAATATTGAAGAGGAAAATTTAACATTAAATTGGAAAACATAAGAGCCTTAAAAGGTAGCCTAAGGACCTGAGCAATACAACACACATCCTATTCAATAGGTTTTAAAACAACAAGATGCCCACAGCAGAACTAAAAGCTTTTGAAATGGCCCTGGCCACAAAGATGGAATGGAGAATAAAGTTCGCAAGGATAGGCATGTTACAGAAACGCCATATTGCAGTGTTTTACGCATAAAATGTGGTAAAATATACGCATCCAGATGAGAGTAGTACCTCAGATGTTGGACAAATGAAGAAGATAACCACTAAAGTCAAAAAGAAAAATGGTGGCAAAATGAAAAAGTGGAAAACTAAGTTACTGATTAAAACATAAAAATACACAGAAAGGAATAATACAACCATAAAAGACATTAGTGTAAGTGGTCTACTAAGTTCTATATTGTTCTATTTGCCATGTAGAGCAATTTCAGGAATATTCTCAAACCAAATAAATATACATCTCTTCCTACATTATATTTATTACACACCTAAGAATAAAATATAATTTGTCTCACATTTTCAGGAAGGTATTAAGTTATGATTAATAAATAGAAAAAGCAAGTAAATTGCCTTTGAGAACACCACATCCAATGACCCATTTTAATTGAGAAAACACTATAGGCAAGGGGGGTCAGTAGGGTGAGGGGTCATTACCTCCGGGATGCTTTTCTTACTTTCCTCCGCCTCTGCAGCCATGCTTTTACTTCAGGGGTGGATGCTGGAGTAGGCTTCGTGTGATCAATGGTGTATATGTCCTTTCCTTGTTTCCAAAGCTGATATCTGTCTGGCTGAAATTTCCTCACAAAGATATCCATTGAAATTTTCACCATGTCTTTTCTGCAAGTGCACTGAAACACATAATAGAGGATAATGTGTTACATTATCAAACATCCAGTGGATGATAAACCCTATTTCTTTGGAACAGAGATGAGAATCTATACATTCACACTTATAAGCAGGAAAATAAGATGGGAAAATGATTTGTGGACCTCACAGGAAACTATATACCAAGAAAAACTAAAAGAAAAGAGTGCTCATTTGGAAGCATGCCTGCAACAGAAAGATTATCCGCCCATCACAATTACATGTCAATGAACTGAGCACTGAAAGGTCTGTAAAGCTGAAAGCCTGGGATGTCAAAAATAAAACAACCCAATTAATGTGTGATTAGAATACTTTAACCAATGAGTTGAGAAAAATTTACTCTAAGATATATTTTGTTACATTCATGGTTATTAAGAAACCCTCATAAGATAACCCAAAATTAGAAGCAAATCAATAGCCTTTTCTACATCACATCACATGTAACATCCAACACCATCAACAACAGCAACAAACATATCCACTAAAATGAAGACATAGGGTAAAGATGAGAAGTTCAAAGAAAAATTACTTCAAATCTACTATGCCTTTAATTCTTACAGTTATCAGTAACATCTTATTAAGCAAGTTTTCTATCAAGACTTCACACAAAGTTTTATTAGGTCGAGGCAAACACTACGCAACAGGGAAGTTATCATTCAAATGGTGGTGCATAAAAAATCCCAAGGATTTAACTGATAAACATTGACAATCTCTAACATACCTTGTAACAGACTGACTGAACAGTTCTGAAACAATAAGACTTTCGACATCTTGGTGATACAATTATCACCGCCATACAAATTAACGCCAAAGTCTTAATAATATCTAAACCCAAACTCCCTCCACAGAGTTCTGATCCTAACAGCCATTACATTCAAAATACCTAAAATTAATGTCTTCAACCTCAGACCATACTCTGTCACTAAGATACCACAGTTCTATTCTCCTACATTCATAGTCCACATTTCCTAGATACTCACTACTCCTTCAACCCTAAAAGTTCAGCCTGTCTCCATGTACAGTGTCTCCTGTCTCGATTTCTTCTGCCAGCATCTTTGTAGCTATGCTGCCAGGCCTTGAATCCTAGCATAACAAGGCTAATGTCCCTGCCTGTAGTCTCTTCTAACATCAATCCATCATTATAGCTGTTACTTTCATCTCCCCCAAATATCTTACAATCTTTCATTCCTATGTTCAATAAGGTGTAATCACCCTGCTTTTCCTTTAGAATAAGATCTAAACTTATGAGCCTGGCATTAAGGGCTCCAAGATTTTACTCTACCAGAGAGATTTTCAGGTTTCACTCCCGCAGTAAGTCAACATGAATATTCTTTTCAAGTCATGGGAACCCAAATGCCCCATATGCTTCGTTACTTCCGTATTTTCCTCCTACCACACCACTTTCCTGCATACTAGTCTGCTATCCAGCAAAACCTCAACCTCAGCTCTGAATATAAACTGTATCGCTTGTTCCTCTGAACCTAATACTATTTATCTACACCACTGCATTCCATTATTGGTTATGTATAGTGATGGTTCTAAGTTACCTTGCTACAATTATTTGCCATTGGAATATAGAAAATGAGGATCCTGAGAAATTGAAAGATATTTTAATTTAAGATGTAATCTTTTGACTAAAGGGGGGAAAAAATCTTGGACTTATAGCCAGAAACTTTCTTAAAGTGTTACTAATGTTGCTTCACAAAGAAAAACTAAACAGTGAACAAGAGTGATGCTCCCCACTTTGAAGAGCTAATTGAGGCCTGATCATGATTACGACTGCAACATCCCTAGGGCAGATAAGCTGGAGAGGTACAGAACACTATTTCTGAGGAATAGGTCTCAGAAAAAAAACCTTTGACCTGATTAATATTCATCTTGTTTGCTGATATGATGACATGAAGCCTAAACAGAAACAGCAGATAAGCCATGGTCAAAGAGGAATGTGCTCAGAGACTGGAGGATGGTATTGCTGGAAAAACTTGCTAAACAGATTAGGCATGTGACTCATGGATCCAACCAACCATGTCAGCAGAAGCCAGGAAAAGAGATGTGGTTATCCAAGGGAGATCTGTGTGAGACCGTCTTGCTTGATGCTTGGATGTTCACGAAATGCATAGAAGACTGACAAGGATTTTAAGATGTTTATACCAGCAAAAATCCCGCCAGCCTGAACCAAAAGGAACAGAGACAGGAAAAAATAAAAGAATGACTCTAAGAACAGAGCCACAGATGCAGAACGACTGAGTGGACAAAACCTCATTGGGCTGTTACAGCAGCCCTAACAAACTACCCTTTAGGAGGTGCAGAAACATGCTACTATGCATCTTAAGATTTCTTCAGGATTAAATCGACCAGGAAACCCACCTATACTAAATTTTTCTAAATAACCTAAACCCAACAATTACAATCTCAGTAATGGTATAAAAGATAACATAAAAAGGTAGATTATACCTTTAAAGTTTATTTGGTATTATTATGCAATGGAAGATGAGGAAAAGATAACACCATATCAATTTGCTAGGAAACTGTAAGTCCCATGATACAAACAGTGCTTAAAAGACTGGATTCAAACTCCAGCTTCAACAATGACAAGCTATGAAATCTCGAGCAACTTATTTGATTTCTTCATGCCTCAGTTCCCCCATCTGAAAAACTGGGAGTAACAATGGTAACTATCCTCATGGGACTGATAGTAGAATTAAACTTTGTCTTCTTATAAAATGTTGCTGAAAATGCTATATAAGTACCTATTTTTAAAAGCCCCAATATGGCTTACATAAATTGCTTTTTAGTAATCCGACCACAAGAACACAGAGGATTCTAGTGTTATCTTATTTTGCCTTACTGAAAAAGTGGAAGCAATGAAGGAAATAAGAATCAGAATGCCACATCTAACAAATGGTCTTAAGGGTCAAGGGGAAGTAAGTGCACAGTTAGATTCTAAAGAATCTAACAGAAGCAATCCCAGACTTCAGGAGGACTGAGAAAACCCAAGAGGACCAGGCCATTGTTGTGGGAGAGGGAAAAGCAGTATACCTTAAGCTCCTGTTTGCATAATATGTGGCAACCAGACCCAACTTCATGACTTCACATCTAGAGCAAACTGAAACTGGAGGCCCAGTAGACATAAGACATTAATGAGAGGAAATGCCCATAACAAGAATTAATACCACCCAGGTGCCAAAGGTAGGATGCTGTAAGGTAAAATAAGATGGAGGCAAGGGTTCAACTCATGTGACTTCTTTGTTCTCCACTGTGTTTAAAAAAAACAAAATACGCCTCCTTTTAACAGAAGAGTTTGGTATTATATGACAACATGCACGTGGTTTGGGGGGGCCAAGGCAGGTGGATGGCTTGATCCCAGGAGTTCTAGACCAGCCTGGGGAACGTCAAAACCCCATCTGTACCAAAAATACAAGAAGTAGTCTCATAACCCAGTCTCAAAAATAAATAAGCCCAAATGAAACACATATTGTCATCTTGTGGTGATGCATGAGTACATGCCATATCCTTAGACCTATCCTGTCCTATCCTATCCTTTAGATCTGAAATGCTGTCCTTTAGAATAGCCACCAAAAACATATTTACCAAAAAAAAATGAACAACATATTTATTGCTATTTCCTCAAAAAAAAAATGTGAATGGATAATTTAAAAAGCAAAACTTAGCTTTAAACACCCTAAATTTTAAAATAAAACTCTTGCCTCCTCTCCCCCAAAAATGTTATTGCTTTTAAAGGTTATCAGCTAATTATCTTTGAGGCACAATCAAATTACATTAGATCAAAACTACAGTATGAAAAAGGTATCTATTCTAGATTCTATCCAACACAAACCAAAAGGGCCCGACATCCCCCAATATATAAGGTATAAAAACATAAGGCTGTTTGTAAAACTTTAAAATGCAAAATGTTCAATGAAATAGCAATTCACTGGCTTTAAGAATACAAGTTTATGTTTTAAACACAAGTTCCCCGCTGAATAGTATCATATATAATATTATGAACAAATGGAAGAGAGACATTCTACATTTCATTGTTTTCTAACAACCCTAACGTTAGTGAAGACATGAAGAATTAAGCATGTATTATTAAATAATCATCTCTAATTTATATTATATCATAATTCATAATTATTCATTATTTCTATATTAAGAAGTAACAAAGGACTGCTAAGTGTTAGGCATCAAAGTAACCTCTTAATTAACAAAGAATATGTCTGGTGGTGGTAACTAGTAGGGCCAAAATCATTAATTAGGCCTGGCATATAATTGTATTCTAAATCCTCAGACTACACTCTCATAGTCACATAGATCTGTGCAAGTTCAGGTACTTTAGTCTCAAAAAAAAAAAAAAGTATGAAACCATAACTGAACTTTATTTTTTTTGAGACAGGGTTCCCCATTGTCAGCCAGGCTGGAGTGCAGTGGCGCAATTTTAGCTCACTGCAACCTTCCCCTCCCAGGTTCAACAATTCTCCTGCCTCAGCCAACGAAGTAGTTGGGATCACAGGCATGTGCCACCACACTCAGCTAATTTTTGTATTTTTAGTAGAGACGGGATTTCGATATGTTGGCCAACCTCGTCTTGAACTCCTTACCTGGAGTGATCCACCTGCCTCGCCCAAAGTGCTGAGATTATAGGCATGAACGACTGCACCCGGCCCTGAATTTCTTATTCTAATTTTAATAAGCCATTATTGTGAATTACCTCAGATACCTTGCCCCATCTGACTTTATACACCAGTCTATTATTAACCATGAGAGTACACACAGTGTCTGTCTTATAGAGAAGTGTATTTTAAGTGCCTAGAGAATAAAAGTCTCTTAAAAATATTTGTTAAATAACCTTTTAAAAAACACATGTGAGGAGACATTTAAAAGGTTAAATAACCTTTTAAAAAACCCATGAGAAAGGCTAAGAGGACTCACATTAATTAGTTCAAGGTCATATACCTAGTAAGTAAGAGACTGTGGTAGATTC